CTCAGCAGAGAGCAGACCCAAAGTGGGTAGCTCCTTCCCACAGCTGGTAGTCCCAACATCTGTGTCAGTCTGGCTGAGTCCAGGGTTTTTATGGGCTCAGAAGTGAGGAAATGCATGCTGATTGGTCCATGGGTGGCCACGGGCACTGGAAAAAGTACCGTAGGTTCTCACTCCAGGCCACAGACTCCACCCAGAAATGGTAGCCCGGCCTCCAGGATTCATGTAGGCCCTGGCTTGGAGGTCAGGGTTTCACTGAGACCTGCCTCTTGCCACCCAGGAATGTCTGCCTCCCACCACCAACATGCATCCACGGTGCCTGGGCTGTTTGTGCCAGGAGACACCTGTAGGCCTGTGCCAAGCTGCCCTTAGCCATCACCCCACCCTAGCCTCACTCCTGTGTTTGTTGGTGCCCAAAGTCCTGAACAGGCTGAGGCAGGAGGGGCTGGTGTCAGCACTGCCCCGAGTGCATGCACACCTGTCCAGGTCGCAACAGTGCCCAGGCTCAGCCACAACTTTGCTCTGTACTGGAGCAGGTGCTGGGAGCAGGGAGAGACCAGGGAACTGGAGCAGGCACTTCCAAGCCTGCAGGGGCAACACAGGCCTCTGAGAGCACAGGGATGCTCAGGTCCAGAGCTGCAGCTGGGCAGCTGCAACTGCACCCAGGAGCATGGGGCTTCTGCCCCACTAACCTGGTAGGAGGTGGGGCTCCCATCACCTACGGAGCATGCAATCCCAGCCACAACTCCCCTGCTGCAGCCGGTGTCTTCCCAGCAGCTGCTCCAGATGGGCCGCCACTGCCACTACTAGAATTCTGATACATTGCTGGTGGGAAAGTAAGATAGTACAACCATCTTGGGAAAAAGCTTGACAGTTTCTTAAGTAAACATATACCATACACTACACAACACAGACTTTCCACACCTAGTTATTTACCTAAGAGAAATGACAGCATATATCCATACAGACTTGTAAACGAATGTTCATGCTGCTTTACTGGTAATAGCAAAAAACTAGCAACAACTTTAATATCCATCAACAGGTGACTGAATAATCGTGATACAGCCAAACAATGAATACTGTTCGGTAATAAAAAGAACCACTGGTTTCTGCAACAACGAGGATGAAATCTCAAAATAATCATGCTCCATGAAAGAAGCTAGCAAAAGATTATATACTGTATGATTCCACTATGTATGAATCTAAAAAACACAAACTAATGTATAACTACAAAAGCAAAATAAGTGCCTACTATATGTCAACAGATTGAAAATTGCAAACCATTCTAGCATATACTTTTAACAAATGACCTATAAAACTGTATAATTTTTCATGAACATTTTCAACTTTCATTTTTTCATGAACATTTCAACTTCAACTATCACAACTCAGTATGTGATAACTGAGACTTAGCATGGTTACATTCTGCAATTTAACCCCAGTTTAACTTTTTGCTCCTTTGTTAATTAGAATTTGTAGCTTTTGGATGGCTTGCCCCATAATATGTGTAAGTATCATGATTCGTAAGGTATTTTAAGGGTACGGAGAGAAATGAATGAGAGAAAAGACAGATGAATGGGTCAGGTTTCATGGGGTTTATGAATTAGGATATATAGCATGGCATTTGTTAACCTATGGTAGCATGTCGAGGCAAAGAGTATTGGAAGGAACAGATAAGAGGAAATGTGCTGGTAGATATGGCTGGAAAAGGTTTTTCAGGATGAGTGGCTGACAAGATTATAGAAATACCTATCAGATTATCTGTTCAGAAGGTATTAAAAATGACTGCCGGAGAAAGCCTAGAGATTTCAATTTCAATGTAACTTCAAAGTGTTAAGATGAGAAAACATACTTTTCTCAAATAGGCACTTTGAATTGGCAAAATAATAAATGAAATTAACCAGCTGATTAATGATAATTAATGAATAAATGATAATAAAATGAAATTAACCAGCTGATTTTTCTAAAGCACTTGCTATAAATTCCAATTAGATATTTGCGTCATTTAAAAACTTCAAAAGCACATAATATTAGCAAAGAAATGCAAAAAGTACTTTAAAAGACTAATACACTATAAGTAGAGTTAAATCAGAACTGCAAAATTGGTTCAACTGTAGAAAATAGCTACTATAATTTAGCACACGGGTAGATTTTAAAACCCCATATAATTATAGCAGAAAGGAGAAAACAGATTATAGGAGAAAGACTACCATCCAAAGCAAGTCTTAAATTGCAACAAAATGGGGCTCTTCTGAAAGAAAATGCCTAATGGAGACTATATTCATAAAAGTGCAAAGAAGGGACGAAAGATCCTGGCTAACACGGTGAAAACCCGTCTCTACTAAAAACTATAAAAAATTAGCCAGGCGTGGTGGCGGGCACCTGTAGTCCCAGCTACTCGGGAGGCTGAGGCAGGAGAATGGCGTGAACCTGGGAGGCAGAGCTTGCAGTGAGCCAAGATCATGCCACTGCACTCCTGCCTGGGTGACAGAGCGAGACTCCATCTCAAAAAAAAAAAAATTTTTTTTACATATTAATGGGGTCTCCCTAATGTCAAAGATTAGCCCACACTTAACATATTTACTAAAAACAGCCTTAAAAATAGGAGATACATAACACATTCCATTTTAAATCTTCACAATGGTCTATGGTGCTAACAGGTAAGTAACATTTCCACAGAAGAACATGCTAAAGCTAACAGAGGATTAAAAATATATGGCTAATCAGAGGCAGTAGGTGGCAGGCCTGAACCTAGGTCTGTCTCTATAGACCACATACTTCACATCATACCACAGCACCTATTGTGAGGCTCAACTAAAACGGCATCTAATTCATATCCATTAATAAGACTGAACATCTCATGATACCACGATACATAGATTATTTTACAAAAGTGCGACAGACATTATTACTATCCAGTGATAGATTTTACTATCACCCTTATTGCATCAAGGTGAAAATGAACTTTATGTAGGTTTATTAATTTGCATAAGAAAATACTGCCTCTAATTTCACAGCACTTTTAAATACATATAATTTATATTTGTAATAAAAGTACATATATAAACACTCATAAAAAAACATACTATTTATTAAAGCCTTAGTCTTTTGTTGTAATTTATGTTCTCTCACTTTTAATACTGTTAAAAAACCTGTAAGGTAGATATTCTTTTCCCCATTTTAAAAATGAAGGAAAGTGAAGCTAAGAAAGGCTAAGTAACTCTTCAAAACCTGCCTAACTAGTAAATGATTAAAACAAAAGATGAACCCAGATTTGTCTGACCCCACAGTTCATCCTTTCCTTTCTAATACTACATACTGCCTAAAGTTCAATAAAGGGATATTGTATAAGCAAATGCAGAAAAAACTGAAGACATCTTCACGACTTAATATTTTTTATGATTTGAAAGTTGTACTTACAACCACTACAAATGTATGCAAGATATTTACATGAAATTAACGTGAACGGGTTAAAAAAAAATCAGAGAAGGTACCTGAAATAAACTGAACCAGCTACATCAGTGCTTGTATTAGTTTCTCAAAAGGACTGGGTGCACATTTGCAGTTCCCAGAATAGGGAAGAACCACAGTATTTCCCAGGCCAACTTAAATTACAACAAGAGAGGCTGGGCGCGGTGGCTCAAGCCTGTAATCCCAGCACTTTGGGAGGCCGAGACGGGCGGATCACAAGGTCAGGAGATCGAGACCATCCTGGCTCTCTACTAAAAAATACAAAAAACTAGCCGGGCGTGGTGGCGGGCGCCTGTAGTCCCAGCTACTCGGGAGGCTGAGGCAGGAGAATGGCGTAAACCTGGGAGGCGGAGCTTGCAGTGAGCTGAGATCCGGCCACTGCACTCCAGCCTGGGGGACAGAGCGAGACTCCATCTCAAAAAAAATAATAAATAATAAATAAATAAATAAATAATAAAAAATAAAAATAAATTACAACAAGAGAAAGAGGGAAAAATCCTGCAGTGGATGTTTCAATCTGTTTCCTTCTTGAATCATGATCCCATGGCACCTATAGTTTGTTCCTGACCTTCTCTTACTCCCCTTGTTACCATGAGTTTGTTTTTCTGACTCTGACTACACTCTTGGCACTCTCGACTATACTAACTGCCTGGCCCTTCCCTTTTGGCCTACTTACACAAATCCTAGAATTCTTCCTGTGTTAGGTTTTACTTTCTGTTGGTTTGTTGATCCTATCAGCCACGTACTCATCAGTCAACTATTCTTTTAGTTATTAGTTTTCTCACTAGCAGTGGGAGATAGCTCTTGAGAACTTTCTGTTAAATATCAGCCATTATAACTACCCTCTCTCCTAGAATTAAATCCTTTAGGACTTAATATTCTACTATAGTTTGGAAAAGGTAGACATGACTATTGAGATCCAAAGAGCAAGTAGGGAAACAATGGTGAAAGAAAGCAGAACTACTACAGATGCAGGGACAAGACTAGAGAAATTGGGTCTCTAATCCAAAGCGATTCACAAGTTATCTGTATGGCTATATGAAATAAAAGTTTGTGACCAAGGGATAAATGAGGAAAGAATACTGGAAATACTTTTTAATTCATAATACTTACCTTGGCTCTCAGTTCTGAAGGGTAATGATTCATAGGCTTCAAAGCTTTGGGAGAAGAAGGCTAAGTTATTCACAGTCTACTAGCTGCTAGCCTGCCTGGTACATCATTCTACTTATTATTCAATAGTTAACTAGAACCCTCACACAATGTATAGCCTAGAAAATCCGATGAAACTGAGCCCTAATGTGCTGCTTCTGTAAAAAGTTTCTGGACTCTGTCCTGCTCTAATCATTCCTATCTCAAATGTCTCCAAGACTCAGACACTTTACATTATCCTGCAAACTTCTCATGAACACCAAGAGGTGATCTGGAGGGCAAAGAAGAAGTACATCTTAAAAAGAGAAGGGAGGATTCATCACAAAAGGAACTTTAAAGTTCCCATGCTTCTCCAAGAAAAGAGACATACGTAACAGCCTTACCAGTAAACAACATCCAGTGGTGCAAAATAATTCTTCATTATCAGGTCAGCAAAGTAAGCTTCTGTTTCTCGGCAGGCAGTTCCATTTCCAATCACCACTGTGCTGCAGCTTCAAGTGAGAAACAGAATGACAAACTGAATTTCCAGGCATGCTTTGAAAACAACCAGAGAAAATGTACAGAATGCACAAATACTATTATATGATGTTCTTATTCTCTCATATATACAAGCAACCTGTCCACTGTTGCACAAGAAAAACACAGACTTATATAGAATAAAAGACACTGCCCTACATTTGGTATAGGAGGCAGCAAAGAAGTATTTTACTGCCACACTATCTCAAAAAAGTCAGCTTTCTTCGCATCAAGAAGGAACCAAAATTAGACATGGGTAAGTCAACTCTGCAGCAATCTAAGCCACAGTAAAATACTATGATTAAATTATATAATACATTGTCAATTTCTGAAACTTCTAACTACAACCACATCTATTCCTCAGATGGAAAGAAGGGAGGGAAGAAGGGAGGCAGAAAACTGGAACAGAAGAATGAACTGTTCACATCTGCCCATATTACCTCCTTTATTTGTGAAGGTAGCAAAGGAAGGGTGCAGCGTTTCTCAAGTCTCTACATGCAGAGTTCTCCAGTAATTTTGCCCCAGCACTGTTTTACATGGTTCCTTCTCTCTCACAAAGGCACCTCCCTTAATCCCTCCCTCCAAATTAGGGGCTTCAAAGGTATCTCTGGTTGGCTGAGCCACTGAAATATTCAAAAGATTACTTATTTTCATACTTGAAATTCAGCAAAAGCCTCTTTATTTTCTCTGCCTCTCGGAAGCCTTGTCCACAATGCAAGTAAACCACATCAGTGTGAAGTATCTGACCTTTAAAAAATGAAAAGAATAAGCCATTTTACAAGAAATTACAAAGTGAAACACATCAATGATTTTATTAAGCAAGTTGTAACACAAAAGAAGACTGGCTTGTTTTTTAAAATGAAGTCTGAACTGAGAACAGGAGAATCCCAAAAATGTCAAAGACTACTTCCCTGGAAATCACAACAGTCAGTTTGAGAACGGCAGCTGAAACTGAGAGAGGTTCAGTACAAAGGGTGCCCGGTAGTTCTGAAAGGATTAGAAAACACTGATCCCTATGAACTCTTGAAACTAACTAGTAGAAGATACCTTTCAAGACAAAAAATTCCACACTGAGGAAAAACAATTGGTAATCACATCCAAACTGAGCAAAGTAAAGATAGTAAGAGCAAAGGAAAAAGAAAGCCCAGATAAAGGAAAGCAACAGAGAAGCAGATTCCAGAAAGTATAAACTGTCTCTCAATCCACACAAAATTTTTTCTTTTAATGATTTGGAAAAAACAGAAGAGAAAGTTCTAGAGATATAGAGTGAGAACAGTTTGCCTGATCCAGCCTCTACTGCAAGTTCAAGCAAACTAATGTATAAAACTAAGCAAAAGAAATGCATGATGGTCAAATTCTACATAGAATGATTTTTTTTAAAACAAAAAAAATTTTAAAGGAGTAATATAATGTCCTTACAGAAAGATGTGCCTAATGTACGAGAACAAGCTTCTTAAAAAGAAACATTACAGAAAATAAGAGTAACGTAAATCTGGCTCATGCCTGTAATCCCAGCACTTTGGAAGGCCAAGGCAGGCGATAGCTTGAGCTCAGGATTTCAAGACCAGCCTGGGCAACATGACGAAACTTCGTCTCTACTAAAAATAAAAAAAATAAAAAAAAAAACCCCAAGCATGGTGGTGCATGCCTATGGTCCCAGCTACTCATGAGGCTGAGGTGGGAGGATAGCTTGAACACAGGAAGCAGAGGCTGCAGTGAGCTGAGATCGCGCCACTGCGCTCCAGCCTGGGTAACAGAGCAAGACCCTGACTCAGTAAAAATTAAATATATAAAAGAATAACATAAGTCAAACTTAGAAAATCTCAGAAATTAGATGAGATAAACTGAGAATTAATTAGAGATGAAAGAAAAAAAATTTCAGAAATGAAAATCTAAACTAAAAAAATAAAAATAGCAAATGCTAACAGAAAATAAAACAAGAAGTTAAAAGATCAAAAAATTAGAAATAAGGAAGTTCATAGGGAGCTATAAACTATTTTTTAAAGTATCAAATGGAAAGTCTAAAACTGAAAAACCAATCATTTGAACTCAGTAGATGGTTTTAGTAACAAATCAGACATAGCTGAATACAGGATTAATTAACTTAGATGATCAACAGAAAATAAACAAAAAGGAGAGAAGAAACTGAAAGGTATAATACGTATGTAATTGGAGTTCCAGAAAGAGATGCTAGCAGCTCCACAAATCCTAAGTGGAATTCATGCAAAAAAGAAAAGACAAGAAAACCCACACATACACACACACTGAAGCATATCATAAGAAAACTGAAAAACACAAAGAGAAAATCTTAGCAGCCAGAGGAAAAAGACATACTACCATCAAAGGAACAATAATAACAGTTTGGCTGACTTCTCAACAAAAATTATAGTAGTCAAAAACAAAAAAATGACATATTTAAAATACTGAAAGTACTGCCAATCTTGAATTCTACACCAAGCAAAATATATTCTTCAAAAATGAAGGCAAAACAGAGATGTTTTCAGACAAACTAAAACTAAGACAATGTGTCTCATTAAAAGTAATAGCATAGAGTTCTTCAGGCAGAAAGAAAATAATCTCAAATGGAAGCATGGAAATGCAAAAGAAATGAATATCAGTGAAAATGTAAGTAAATAGGAAAAAAATATTGACTGGGCAAAACAATAAAAATGTCTTTTGGTATTCGAAATATATACAGAATTAAAGTGCATCATATACAAATGCATCACAATAATAGAATCTGATGGGAATTACTAGAGTTCAAGTTTGAGCCTAATTAATCCTCAATATCTCTACTGAGACATAGGAAGCATATAAATGATAGTTGTATATTAACGGGTTTGATGAACAAATGAGAGAAAAATGAAGTTTGATTATCTGGTTCCCAATGCCCCCATATGTGAGAAAACTTTCTAAGTCTTAAAGATTAACATTATTTCCAAATCCTCATGAAATGTATGAAATGAAACTTAAAACCAACTAAACAACTTTTATATGGAAAACTGCAAGACAACTTACTGGTAGGAGAAATTATAGCTAATTTGCAACCATGTTTATAACCAGGATCCACTCCCATTAAGGTGCGCCCTGGAACAGGGCTTGTTAAAAGGAGCTGACGAAGGTTCCGTCCAAACATCATTACTGATTCCTTCTCTGCATCTGATGTTAGTTTGGCTCTTTAGAAATAGAAGAAAAGGTTTTTCATTCACCCAAATTTTCTTTCAGAAAAGGAGCATTCATTTTGTACAATTATTTCTCAAAGGATAATTTATTATAACAATATAACTTAAGAGAAAAATATACAAAAATTATATTGACTCTATTTTCACTAATCACAGTAATATATGATAGCACAAGCAATTCTGAAGCAAGTCTTGTAAGTTTATCATACCTACATTACCTCTCTATCTGCTCTCTACTGTATATAAAACCCATGCTTATAAATATGTGTATATGTGAGAAAGAGAGTGTACACACATTTGAATGTCACATGGGATGGAAACAAAAGTAGGGACAGTGGGCAGGGAGAAAATACCCCAGACAATGGAAACAGCATATGTAAAGGTTCATGGCTCATTATAGAAACAGCAAGTAATTTCGTATGCTAAAGTAAAAAGAAACAGCGAGACAGAAGTAGAGGCAAGAAAAAAACAGATCACAAAGGGTCATGCATGTTCTTCTCAAGAGCTTGGATTCTATCCTGGAGACAAACGAGATCAGCTGAAAGAAGTATACAAGCATGAAATCATGAGATGAGAATTTTGAAAGGGCGATTTATAATATGCACCAGAAAAGACAAGACAGAAGACCAAGATCATCTATGACGCTTGTTCAGTAATCCAGACAAAAAATGATGTCCTCAATTAAAAGTCACCATGGAGATAAAGGGGAGGAAAAATTCAAGTTACAATAAAAGATGGCAAAACAGACAGCACTTTATAACTGACAATGTAGAACTGATGACAGAGGTAGATGTGAAAAATGACACATGGATGAATGATCATGACAGTCACAGGAATAAGATATGCAGAAGTAGGCTATGCATAGTATACAGTCAACCAAATTAAGTGACTGCAAAATAAAATAGTCTAAAAAACAAACCAAGTGGGAGTTTCCTCCTCTTTAACTGTTATTCAGGTAAGTATTCCTATCAGGAGGCGTATCTGTAGATAATACCTGCAAACTAACTTATAAAGGGAAATAAGTTATATTTCTTTACGGGCATTTTAGAAAAAGAAAAAGAAAGTACTCTTGCTTATCTACTGCTAATAGAATTCAGAAAAGGTTTATACATTAAATGATCCCACATCAAACTGTTTGCATTAAACCTTAATGAAATTATTCCACATGCAGTGAAGCTACTCAAATCAAAAATATATGCAAAACATGTCAAAAGTGCCACTAGACATAAGCAACATGAGAAAACAATAAAAAAAAAACATACAAAAAGAAATTGATATTTTAAATAACAAATTTTCCTTCAGGAAGAACCAAATTTCTAATTTTTAAAGTGTATGCCCTAGCTCTCAAAAGCAAGAGATGTTAGACAGCTTGAAATGAAATACAATTCTAAAAGGAACAATATTTTCAGGCTACATCTAGGCTAAAATGGATGTAACAAGAGATTAAATGACTTTGGTAAAAATAAATTGGACAACAGGACTATGTGTCTTTTTTAATAGTACCTGCTCACTCCCTGCTCTGAACCAATCTTAACTCAATGGTCAAGTCCAGCAAAAGAGAAACAAGCCCTACATTGGCTGCTAAAAATTCTAGAGAGGTTGAAGAGATGGCTACAAAACTACAGTTCTCAAGTCGCCCTCGCTGAAACTTACAAATAAATGAGAATGAAGACAATCTATAATACTTTGGAAGGAATGTATTAGGGAATGTCTAGTTTCTAAAGATTGGGTACAAAAACAAGGGTTACAGAGAAGTAAGAAAGAGGAGTTTTGCCTCCCTACATTTCTTTTCTTTCCATCTTCTGTCCTCTAAATAATTCTAAACCCCACCTCTTTTGCAGTTTTCATCTTTATTACTTAGTCCTTCTATTAGTCCATTCACATTGCCATTTTAATAATCTCCAAATATTTATCATTGATGATAATTTTTCATCCAAATAACTCCCATTTGTAGTTAAAAACAAAGTAATTGACTCATCACATACCCTACTGATTTCCTTATGCTTTCTTTGGCTCTCTTACCTCTAAAAACACCTCCAACTAACTTCTCCATTAACTTCTCATTTCACTTCTGTCAAGCCAAATTTCTAATCAATAAAACCACTTGTTTAGCTTGGTTTTCAAATTGCAAGACTAGTATCGTAGGATTTCAAGGGGTGCACATTAAGTGGTCAAGATTTGAAAAATATATCATAATTAAGAACTATTTTTATGATCTATGCATGTGAAAGCATCTACAGATTGAAATCAAGCCTTAACTTTAACACTTTGTGATGCAGACTAAATTTTTTCAATTGGTTAATCAATCAACATATATTCGCTACACACTGTAATGGGACTAGTACCATATAATAATAAGCAGTACACAAAATTAAACAAGACAAGATATATACCTGAATTCTCTACAGAGAAGAGGATAAATAAGGCGTTTAAAGGAATCATTCAGTGAATCACGTAAGATCTTCATTAACTCTGGCCTTGCAAAGCCACGTGGTCTCCACCTGCAAAACAGAAAAGCCCACACTAAAATTGATGCAACAACAAATAAGGCCATAAAAGGGCTCCCAAAAAGAAGGGAGGTGGAATACAGAAGGGAGTAAAACCCTTACTGAAGTCAAAGTAACATAATCTGCAAGGAAAGGCTGTGGTATCTGGAAATTATTACTATGATATCTGGAGTTTTTATTTTAAAAACCCTAGTAACTATCTATGGTCAGATATAAAACAAGGAAAAAATTTCCTCTTCAGTAAAGGGTCTCCAAAGCATTATTAATAATGGCCAAAATATTAAGATACAAGAAAGGCACCAAAAAATTACTACAACTCTGCTACAGACTGAATGGATCTGTCCCTCCCCAGATCCATACCTTGAAGATGGGGCCTTTGGGGGATAATCAGGTTTAGACGAAATCATAAGGTTGGGGATCTCATGATGGAATTAGTGCCCTGATAAGAAGAGATAACAGAGAGCTTGCTCTCTCTCTCTCTTTCTCAACCATGTGAGGACACAGGAAGAACACAGCTGTCTACAAACCAGGAGGGAAGCCCTCACCAGAAAATGAACCAGCTGGCATTTTGATCTTGGACTTCTCAGCCTCCAGAAGTATGAGAAAACAAATTTCTCTTGTTGAAGCCACATAGTCTACGGTATTTTGTTATGGTAGTCCAAGTTAAGATGGCTACTGTATCCTTTTTTTTCCCCTTTCTTTGTCTTTTTCTGAGAGTTAAAGTAGACTGAGCAAAGCAGAAATTCTATTTTAACCCTTGCCTCTTGCCATTTTTGAGTAGAACTTACTCTATTGCTCAGGCCACAGTGCTCTACCAGGCAGCATCTGCATATGTAATGAGGAGTATAAATGCCACAGAATCAATTGTTAATGAACACTGGAGAAAGAATAGAAGAGAAAAAGCACAAGCTAAAAGGACAAATGTAGCCTCACTGAAATTGTCCCTATAAACCTTATAAAATTAATTAGGAAAGAAGGGAGGGCTAGAAATGAAAAGAAACCAAGCTGGTAGCACATTCAACATTAATCATGAGGTCAGCTCACTCTCTGACCTGCTTCCTCATAGTTGTTTGGTGCCTACTGTCCTAGAATTACACAGACCCTGTTACTAGATTTTAGCTTCCCTTAACTGCTTTATAGGTAACAGCCTGAACATTATGAAATGTTAAGTTTTCCATTTGAATACTCTTTCAGGTCCTGTGTACCAAAGAAACCACTGACATAAGCTAGTATGAAAGACCCACGACCAAGAAGCTGACTCACCAAAGAGTACAGTTTCCATATCCTGATGATTTTATCCCCCTCACCCCAACCAATCAACGACCACAATTTTCAGGTTCCTTGCCCTCCATGATCCCCTTAAAAATCCTAGCCCAGGCTGGGCACAGTAACTCACATCTGTAATCCCAGAATATGGCCTCCCAGAGGCCAAGGTGGGAGGATCACTCGGAGTTCAAGACCAGTCTGGCAACATAGCCAGACCCTGTCTCTACAAAAAATAAAAATTTAGCTGGATGTGGTGGTGTATGCCTGTAGTCCCAGCTACTTGGAAGGCTGAAGCAGGAGGATCGCTTGAGCCCAGGAGGTTGAGGCTGTAGCAAGCCATGATTGCACCACCACACTCCAGTTGAACAACAGAGACCCTTTCTTAAAAACAAAAACAAAACAAACAAAAAAAACCCCAGCCCAGAACTTTTTGAAGAAATGGATTTCAAGTCCTCCTCCCATCTCCTCACTCAATGCCCTGCAATCATTAAACTCCTTTTTTTTTTTTTTTTTTTTTTTGAGAGAGAGACCCACACTGTCACCCAGGCTGGAATGCAGTGGTGTGATCCCGGCTCACTGCAACCTCTACCTCCCAGGTTCATGCCATTCTCCTGCCTCAGCCTCCTGAGTAGCTGGGACTATAGGTGCCCGCCACCATGCCTGGCTAATTTTTTGTTTTTGTATTTTTAATAGAGATGGGGTTTCACCGTGTTAGCCAGGATGGTCTCAATCTCCTGACCTCGTGATCCACTGACCTCAGCCTCTCAAAGTGCTGGGATTACAGGCGCGAGCTACCTCACCAGGCCCATTAATCTCTTTTCTCTGCTACGAACCCTGCTGTCTTGGTGTATTAGTCTGTTACTGCACAGTGGGCATATAAACCTCTTGGTCCTATGATACTATCTACTCTGTTTCATCCATCTATAGCATCTCTGCCCTTGCCCTCTTGAATGAAAATCATTAACAAAATATTAATTAAAATTACCTTAAGGGTACTCTCATCCCCTTTACTTATCTTAGGCTAGGAAATGAACTAAATTTCACTGAACAAACATTTAAGCACTTACAATGTTTTATTCCAAAGATTACATAATAGCAACTAATTGAATCTCTTCCATAGAAAGTGCCATATAATTTTTAAATTTTAGTGAAAGTGCTTTTAGGCAGGATACATCCCTCCTTCCACCTAAATCCCTGCTGCTCCCTACTGTAACATGTGCCTGAAGGAATTAGGGATACAGAGGAGTAGGATTTCTCTACTCCATTGAAAAAAGGCATGAATTCAACAAATACACCTTTTTTCAATGAAACAAATATTTAAAAAATGTATGGCACAATAAATGTAAAAACAGAAATAAATCTTAAAGATATGAAGAGCTCAAAAGCAGAAGTGACAGCAAACAGCAGTATAATACACTAGTTAAAAGTATGATCTGTTCTGCTCTATTACTTTTTTTTTTTTTTTTTTTTTGAGACAGTTGAGACAGAGTCTCACCTCACTCTGTCACCCAGGCTGGAGTGCAGTGGCACAATCTCGGCTGATTGCAACCTCCACCTCCCAGGTTTAAGCCATTCTCCTGCCTCAGCCTCCAGAGTAGCTGGGACTACAGACACGCACCACCCCGCCCAGCTAATTTTTATATTTTTAGTAGAGACAGGGTTTCACCTTTTTGTCCAGGCCAGTCTCGAACTGCTGACCTCAAGTGATCTACCTGCTTTGGCCTCCCAAAGTGCTGGGATTATAGGCGTGAGCCCCCATGTCTGGCCTTGCTCTACTTTCATGGTGGATTTACTTAAGTATATCTGTGCTACTATTTCTTCAACAGTAAAATGGGAGTAATAATAGTCTACTTCATTGAATTGTTGTGAGTTAATATATGCAAGGGACTTATAATGGTGCCTGATACATTCCATGTAAGTTTTGCTGCTGCTGCTATTATTATTAATTTGGGGAATCCAATGTCAAGAAAGACTTCCCAAAAGAAACATCTGAGATGGGTTTTTTAATGAATTGTAGTTTACCAAGCAAGAAAAAAGAATAAGAGCATTCTGGGAAGAAATCATAGTATATGTAAAAGCTCAGAGGCATGAAAAAGCATGGTAAATTGAAGTAACTATAAGATTAGTGCTTCTAGGAAATAAAGTGGCAAGATCAACAGGAGGGAAGATGAGGGTAGAAAATGTGGCAGTGACTAGATCATAAGGGGTCTTATACACAAACTATAGAGGTTGACCAGGTGGGAGAGAGAACATAGTCCTGAATCATGGAACAATATGCTAGACAGTCCTTAGAGGCAGGAAGACCTAATGGAGCGATTTTTTTTAATGTATATATCTGATTTGTCTCCTAGGGTCATTCCCTTTAAGCCACTGCTTGCAGGAAAAAGCCTGAAATCTTAAATATCACCTACCCATACCCTCGCAAACCCCCAGTCTTCTTCAAGTCTCAAGATCCTCCGTTGGCTTGGACTGCTCTCCTCCCCTTCCTGAACAAAGAGCTGTGGGTCTATTTAATACTTGAGGATGCCTTGATTATACCCATTCAGTTGAACTTAGACTACCAGACCCAGCCCTGAAAGAGAACAGCTTTTTCATTTCCTACATTATAGAAACTCCTTTTTGCTCCTTACACCAAAACAATTCCTGCCCTTCACAGGCTTCCTGGGATTTACTGAAGGCACTTAGCATAATAAGGGACCTGAAATAGCATAGTAAATTCACAAACCCTGTTACTTAAATCTTTAAACTTAAAGAAAATATGATGGGTTTGCCTTACAGGATGTCATCCCAAAACTTGATTCTTCCTCTAATTCAATAGTTAAATACATCTGAATAAAACTAAGGAGGATTCACTTAAACCAAATCGTACACTGCAAAACACATGCTATGCATGTTGCATACAATGAAGCACAAAATTGAGGTGAGGGATCACAAACTCCTCCAAAGAAATATTCTCTACTTTGGCAAAGAAATATGCTCTCCCCACTCCAGTTGTCAGATAAAGATAGGCTCTCTCCACTGTGCTTTTTTCCATATTTGAAAGACAGACAGTTTCCCTTAAATCTACACGAAAAACAGCAGCACAATTTTAGAGAACAAAAATCAACTTATCAAGTCAAAGACACAAAAATATGAAAACTCAAAAAGACAAGTTCTGAAGCCAGGTGTGGTTGTGTGTGCCTGTTGTCCCAGCTAATGTGAAGGCTGAGGCAGAAGGATTGTTTAAGCCCAGGAGTTTGAGACCAGCCTGAGTAACATAGTGAGATAATGTCTCTATAAAGAAGTTTTCTTAATTTTTAAAAAAAGTTTTCCTTAAATATGTTTTTATTTAAAGAGCAAATGCAGAAACTTAAATTTCTGAGGTTCTCACAAACACAGCAACTATTTCAGCATCTAAAAAGCTTAGAAATCCTCTTCATATTTACCTTGTACTAGTAACATACAATTCCAAATGAGGAATTCTTCAGTTGCTGAATTTGGACCTAAATATTAGTTTCAATACTAATACATTAGCATTAAATTCTTCCTTGTTATGCTAATTAACTTATGTAATAACAAGATTGCCATTTAAATCATTATTTGCCCTATTACATAGTTCTTAATATATTTATAGTTTGAGAGTAACTATATCATCTACCTTATTGTTCAAGCCACACAATTTTTTTTTTTTTTTTTTTTGAGACAGAGTTCCACTCTTGTCGCCCAGGTTGGAGTGCAACAGCACAATC